CGCTCAATCGCAATGATCGGGGAAACAAAAATATCTGAGAAAAGTTTTTAAATTTGGTGCATTTCGCTAGATCCAGACCTTTGAGGCGTGTGCAATACCCCTGCCATTCCGACACACCCCCTGGACATTACTTCATTGAGCCCTACTGTCCAGTGCCGAACTCTTGCCGACCCGCTTGCTCTACTATGCTGCGCTGAGGGAAGGAGGCCTTCGACACCAACCTATTTCGAGCCATTTTCCATCCGCTTCCTCCCCGCCAAGAACAGCAACATTTCCAGATTCGCCCACGATACCCGTCCAATGTAGCGAGACGCCCTCATCACCCTCTCATCCCCACACTATCGACACCCGGAACGGCTACAAGTGCCGTCCTACCGTACGAGCAGCACCTTAGTGACGTCGACTAGTGCAAACTTCCCTTAGGGTAACCCTCATCCCCTCCTTTCGTATTCTCAATGGAACAAAATCCGTCTCGCAACCCCCCACCTCCTCCGCCTCTTCCCCCTCCAGATGAGGATGAAATCGCTCCAGCCCCGCAGCCGCCCCGCCCCTTGCAAGTTCCCCTCCCCGAATTAGATGAAAGCCCCCCGCACCCATGGAACGATGTCAACGAGAAGCAGCTCCGCTCTGCCCTGATCGGTGCCTGCAAGCGTATGCCCCGCAATGCGGAAGCCCACTTCCATCTAGGCCTCATGTACATGCGCAAGTGCGACGGTGAGGAAGCCCTCCGCTCTTTTCAACATTGCAAGCAGATTTACAACGAGCGTCTGGACCAGTACAAGACCCAATCTATTGAACCACCCATGCAGCTCCTTTCCTGCATAGCGCGATTACGCTCCCATTCGGCACAGGCCGCGCATCTCGAGGCTATGTCCAGCTACGAGCGTGAGGAGCGCACCCCGATGCTGACACGACTGCATCGTGACCTTGTTGTCGCCACCAACATGGATAACACGCAACCAGATGTGTGGAATGCGATCGCGATGTTGCATCTTTCGGAGGGTGGATATGAGGGGGCCCGTGACATTTTAAAGCTGATACGAACATCATGCCCTGAATATTTGGATGCATTAAGCAACCTCGGTCTAGCAGAGCTCGCACTTGGAAACGAGGAAAGTGCGGTGTCTTGCTTTCAGAAAGTTATCCTTTGCGACAAGGGGCATGCAGAGGCTCTGTCCAACTACGGTGTCGTTTTGTTGAAGCACGGGATTTACGATGCCGCCATTCGGGCGTTCGAAGGGGCTGTCAAAGGTTCTACTGCGCAGGGGCGCGGGCTATCTTTCGCGTGGGGGGGTTTAGCAGTTGCTAGGGGGGCAATAGGTCTTTTGGAAGAGGCGGAGAAGGCTGCTCACGAGGCAGAGAGAACAGCTGACCCTCCAAACAAGGCGCGTTTTTCGATGCTCTTGACGTCAATTCGGGCGAGAAGAGTGACAGCTCGAATGCGCCGAGGGGTAACTTCATATCCGCCACAACTTCTCAAAGGGGACGGGTTGGAGTCGCCGCCGCAGGTCAAACAAGAGCTGTCAGAACAACCATCACAGAGTCGATACGGATCGAATTCTCCTCTGTCTGGAGCGAGTGAAGATCCGCGACCAGCAGTGGAAGCAGCTGTCCTTCGCTTACGAGCGTTGGCGAGAGATATCAAGTCAAGTTCCTCCAAAACGGCGCTAGGGGCCGTGCTTCGGTTGCGACACGAGTATTCTTGGGAGGATTCTGGAAATAGGAACTTCGGAGCTGAGGCGGCAGAGCGGCTTGTGGAAGCGTTAGAGAGCAACGACTCAGACGTAGCTGCATGGGTGCAGCTTTCACTTCTACAAATGGGTACAGGCGAATATCAAGAAGCGCGCGACTTTGCTGCTCAGGCTGTGGCGCGAAGTGGTGAGATGGAATCTGCGTGGAATGCGTTGGCAGTTTCAAACCAACTTAATGATGACGTACCCGAAGCGCAGAAAGCATACGAGAAAGCCATCGAAATTGTAACGAGAAAGTACAACAAAAACAACAACAGAAGGTTGCCCCATGAACACGAATCTGGTGATCGAGGTAAGACATCCGAGACTGATTCTCAAGATATCATTCGCGCCCTGACTTCAGATCCGTTGTTGCCGGTGGAGGAGGAGAACGAGGGTAAAGGCATCCAAGCGGAGACACTACTGGAAGACCTCAACGATGCGGGACTGCAGTCACTTGCCTCTTTGTACAACAACTATGGAAACCTGAAGCGTCAAGAAGGCCGCAGTTTTTCAGAAGCTCTCCATGCCTATAATACGAGCTTGAAACTGGGTGGTGAAAACGCTTTAGTGTATAACAATCTTGCGCTCCTGTACATTTCTGCTGGTCGTATGAGTGATGCAACTAGTATGCTGGAACACGCATTGAAACTAGAACCTCAACTGGAATGTGCAATTTCGAATCGCTTGAAGCTGCGAGCGCTTATCAGACGAAAAGAGAGAGAAAGTGAAGAGAAGCAGGACTACAGCAGCGACCTTGGTTTTGGTGAAATTGATTGTCTTTGAGATGTCCAGATGATAGTAATTCACCCATGTGAGAGACGAGTGTAGTGAACCATAGGTAAAGCCTGTATATTAGATCTTACCGACATTTTTTTGAATCAATGGTTCTAGTTTACCGTTTTTCGTTGATGGGCTCATGTTTCCCTACGTGGGAGATCTATTCCACCAGAAGAAGTCAATCACACATTCCTGTCATCCAGATGTAAAAGAGCATATGGAGCAAGACTCAATTCGTCCTTCTCCCGCAGCCTGAACGCTCCGAAATGCTTCAGAGACCTGCCACACAGGAAGGCCTTCGGGTGAGCAATTCTACGTAGCGTGATACAGTAATGTGGCAAGTCCATCTATTCGCTAGTGCCGTAGGGATGTGATGAGTACATTTTTCTTCTTTTGGAAAGGGCTAAACACCACAAGAAGCGTTGCCGTCTTAGAAGGCTTGCGAGATTAGAAAAATATCAGCTCGAAATACTTGTACTATATATTCGAGAGAAGACGAAGACAGACCGGTACTTAACTCCATGCTTTGTTTATTTGTGAGATGGGATGACTAGCACTGTGCAAATAATTAGCAGAAGGTGGGAATACAACTATCCTTTGCCTAACTTACTGAAGAGATGAGAATAGGAATAAGAATATTTTCAAGACAGCACCAAGTTCTCCGGCGTACTCGTTGCAGATGACTGCTTCGAGGAATCACTAAACTTCCGCGCTTTCAAAATAAACGGGTGCCGGAGCAAATCGCGAGCTGACGGTCGCTCTTGAGGATCCCAAATCCAACATGCTGTTAGAAAATCCTTCGCTTCTGTGCTTAGATGGGATGGAATTGGAGGACAACGATCCTCTACCATCCTGAACAAAACCTGCATAGCACTCAGTTCGTGGTATGGCCTGCGACCGGTTGCGAGCTCCAGAACGGTGCACCCCAAGCTCCAAATATCCACACTTGTTGTATATGGCCGATACTCAACCATCTCTGGGGCTATATACCAGGGTGTTCCGACCATATGTTGTTGTCCAGGGTTAATAGTCTGTACATTCTCAGATCTACTAACGCCAAAATCGCAAATCTTCACTGCGGCACTGCTGTCGACAAGAATATTGGCGGGCTTCAGGTCTCTGTGTGTAACCTTGTTAGAATGAAGATATTCCAGTCCGCTTAACACTTGTCTAGCAATCTCAGCAACGAGAGTTTCCGGAAAAGCAGAGTACTGAGATAAGTGCTCCGCAAGGCTGAGTCCATCCACATATTCGACAACAAGATTGAGGGATCCATTGTCACCTACAAAGCTGCCCTTGAACTCTACAACATTTGGATGATGAAGCCCCTTCCAAATATTTTGCTCTTTTACAGCCTTCTTGTCTACCATCGCACCACTGTTGTGGAACCGCTTGATGGCGACAATGTCACTTGATCTTATGTCTTTCGCCATGAATACAGATCCATACCCGCCTTTCCCTAGAACCTGTCCTATCTCAAAAAAGTCTTGGACCATGTTTCCATCTGCTTCCCGGGCAAGCATCCTCTCTCTCAAGTCAGCATCGCTAGCCAACTCTTCTTCATTGCCTCGGGGTAATGCATCATAATCCTCAACGTCAGCGGCCGCTCGGCCTTCTGCCAACTGCTTCATACCCGAGGGTTGTTGCCGCGGCCGACAGTTCCGAGTTACTGAGACAACGCGACCTGTCGACCTGAACTTATTGGCTTCGTACTGAGATTTTCGGGCAAGATACTCTGCTTTCATAGGGGAGCGTGGAACATAGGGTCGCTGCTGGTCTGTAATTCGCTGACCTCGGGGCGCAGTTTGCTGGGGTGCAGCTCTCTGCGATCTTCCCTGGGGATGAGACGCGTCCTTGACACCGGAGTCTCTTCGAGAGTACTGCAGATTTGGTCTACCATGATTCGTAACACCCGAATTGATGAGCCGCACAGATGCCCGAGAAAGACGCTCTAGACTTTCCGGCATCGCAGCCGTTGCATTGCGATCCCCTGTTTCGATGTCCTCCAGGATGGCTTGACGAAGATCGTACAGCCTCTTGACAGGATGGCCGGCTAGGGCAGCTTGCTTGACTTGAATTCCCACTGCGTACAAAACTTTCGCCCTTCTCGTCGCGCTGCCCTGAGCCAGCACTTGTAGTGCACGGAACGCAGTCTTGATAAGCCTTTCTGGAGCATCCTGCGCGTTATATACTCGCAGTATAACTGCTGCTCCATCTTTCAGGCTCAACGCGTCAGACGCTGCACGCCCATCACCGCATACATTGGCCAACGCTCTTACAATATCGAAGGCGGGAACAAATTCTTTGAAGGACTTGCATTTGCTGAGTCTATCTATAAGCGGTACCAGCCCGCCAGCTTCCCGAACGGCCGACCGGGCTTTCTGCGTTGACGCAACATTACCGATAAGGCGAGAAGCTTCCGCAACTACTTCCGGATCTCGGGCAAGGCGCAGTGCTCGAAAAGCGGTTTGCAATCCATTGGCAGAGACAATCGCTTTGTGCCATCTGACCTCCAGAGCGAACTCGGCCAACAAATTCACGACTTGAAACATAGCTTCTTCGTTCTCAGTGGTGGCGCCAAGGGCCGCCAATGCTTTCAAGCCGCCGTGCTTAATGACATAGCTCTGAAAACGAATGCCGTGATGGGAAAGGTTTGAAATGGCTGCCGCAGCTTCTACTATGACCTCTGCCTCCTCGCCACGCCCTACTCTCCCGTCAATAATGGCAAGAAGGGGCTCAACACATCCGTATTTGGCGGCAAGAACAGCAGTCGTCTCTTTCCCTCCGAGAAGGTTACGGAGACCGCGACAAGCACTGCCTAGCGTCGAACGGTCGGATGATTTGGCGAGGTTGATGAGCCTCACGAGAACAGGAACAGTGCCAGCGGCCACAAGCTCGTCCTCACACGCCTCGAGCACAGCCAACTCCGCAATGGCAAAAGTAGAATTGCAGCGCATGTCAAGGGTGGTCTCCTCATGTCTCAAAAGTGAAACGATGGAAGTGGCAACACCCTCACGGATCATTTTAAGTCTAGTGGCATCATCCCGAGCAGCCGCAGCCGCGATGCGTCTGACGGGGATGTCTGCGGATGCGATGTCATTCGATCTCAGAATGGCAGCCAAGTCAATATGCGGCCATGTCGGTTGAGAGGCGTCAATTTTGGATGATGAAGAGCCTCCATTTGAAGGTTTGCGCTGGTGCGTGGGTCTATTTTCTGGGATTGAAGTTCGGGAGCTGACCTTTTTCACGACTTCGCCCACCTGGAGCTTGTCTGCTGAAGTATTTGCGCCCTTCCCTTTCGAAGCACGTCTCTTCGGAGCTGGAGCAGCAACGACAACCGGGGAGGCGACTTTGATGGATCTGCGCCGATCCGAGGTTACAGACTTTGCAGGGAGCACCGGCTCACGCTTCGCTGCTCGCTGGCGGCGGTTTTTCCGCTTCTTGTCGGGCTGCAACTGGGCCCCCTGTTGGGAGGGGTTGACCTGGGTGCGTTTCCCCCAGCGGCGATTCGAAGGCTCCGGTGCATCGGCCTGGGCTGTGTCCTTAGACGCGGAATTTTCTTTCTCGAGAGCTTTGCGAGCAGGGGTCTTGGCAGACACTTGGGCGGGGCGATACTGCGTAGGCTGGCGGCGTACAGTGGCGTTACGGTCGCGCAGAACAGGGTGGGATTTGTCGCCGGTCTTGCGAGCAGTAGTTCCTGTAGAAGAGGGGTGGGAGACGGCCGCGGCAGCAGCGGCGGCCGCGGCGGCGGTGGCGTCGTGCGGCTTGCGCTTATCCTTGCGGCGAAGGAAGTCGAGCATTGTCTCGAGGGACGGGGGCGGGGTGGAGTCGAAGGCGAGAGGAAGAGAAGGGCAGGGGGGCTAGAGCGCGAGGGGTGAGGGGAAAGGGGGCGGCTTGAAGGGGTTAAGGGAGAGGGGGTGGGGAGGGGGGGGGGGAGGAGGGGGATTACGGGAACACAGTTGTCCGTGTACATTCCTAACAGTGGGGGCCGGTGGCTGTATACTTCCAAAAAATTCTTCGACCGACTTTCCTACGCTGACGGCTTCCCAAGTCCAGGAAATTATAATTAATTGAAAACTCAATATTAACATTAAATATATAATGATTACAACATGCGCTAATTAGTAACGAAAGGAAGACACTGGTTACTATTCAACCACCAGGCCGGACTTGCGTAAATGTATTCAAAATCCCAATATTCTGAGAAACTCACCTCGGTAAGAAACACGGGGTACAGAGTAAAGTCTCGATATCGTGAACCGAAATGTGGCGCTTCCGAGCAGCCCATTGAGTTCGCCTTACCGAGGCAGTTCACGGCGGCGGAACTGCTCGTGTACACGTGTACCCGTTTTACGGGTACAGTATGATTTGGACCACACCGGTGGAGACGCTCTTAGAGCGTCTCCACCAATGCCGATGATACGGTCACAGGAACACAAACTCACTTTCCTTGACTCTGTCCAT